TATCAGTTTGAGATTCAACATCGTCCAGGAAGACTTCATCGTAACGCTGACGCCCTGTCCAGATGCCCATGTAGACAATGCGGTTTTCAAGTAGAGACACAAACCAAAAAGAAAGAAACGAAATTAAGCAGCGATGATCCAGCGACAAACAAGGATTGGAGTGCAGAGACTGATATGTCAGTAGCAGTGATACAGATATCTTGTGAAAGCGATGAATTCACCGAGGCTCAGAAATCCGACCAAGATGTCGCAATTGTAATGAGTTGGGTGGAAAGCAAGACACGACCACCGTGGGAAGAAGTCGCCAGATATGGCGTGCTGGTGAAAAACCTCTGGAGTCAATGGGACCAGCTAGAGATAAAGACTCCATACTCTGTCGCAGATGGGAGTCGCACGACGGTGGAGAAATTCACAGTCAAGCTATTGTTCCACGAGACAAGAGAAATGATATTCTACGCATGGCGCACGACTCGCGAATTGGAGTACACCTTGGCATCAGAAGAACTCTACAGAAGATCAGAAAAGAGTATTACTGGGTCGGACTACAGAAAGATGTGCGACTGTGGTGCCAGAGATGTGAGGCCTGTGCGAAACGAAAGTCACCAGGACAGAAAAGGCGAGCTCCAATGCAGCTGATTTCGTCAAGGGTTCCAATGGAACGCATAGCTGTTGACATCTTAGGGCCACTTCCAAAGACTGGAAATGGAAATGTTTATATTCTCGTGATTGCCGACTACTTTACAAAATGGACTGTGATATTCCCAATGCCTTGCCAGGAAGCTACAGTTGTCGCAAAACTAATAGAAGAGGAAGTCGCGACACGTTTTGGTGTGCCACGACAGATTCACACGGATCAAGGACGACAGTTTGAGAGTGAGCTCTTCCGTGAAATGTGTCGACTCCTTGGAATCGAGAAAATTAGGACCAGTCCGTACCATGCGCAAGGCGACGGCATGGTGGAAAGGATGAACCGAACGCTAGAGGGCATGCTATCTGCTTTCGTCGAAGAACGACAAAGAGACTGGAATGAGCACCTCCCATACCTAGCGATGGCATACCGCTCTGCAGTACATGAAACCTCAGGTTTTACCACCAATTTCATGATGATGGGAAGGGAGGCAGACTTACCGTTAGATGTTGTGTTTGGAAAACCACCTGATAAACATTAGAGCAGTTCGCATGAGTGGATTCAATCATTGGAAAGAAGATTAGAAATTTCGCATCATTTCGCCAGAGACAACTTGCAGTGCAACATGCGGAGACAGAAGCGCTATTACGATAGCAGGACCAGATGGGAGAGATTTCAGATAGGCGATCTTGTCTGGTTGTTTTCGCCAAAAAGAAAAAGGGGAATTTCGCCGAAATAACAGACATGGTGGTATGGGCCATACGAAGTCGTTGACAGGTTGAGTGACGTCAATTTCAGAGTTAAATGCGGTAGATATGGAAAGCCCCTCGTAGTTCACGTGGATCGCTTGAAGAGGTATCAGGGATATAATGAAGTCGCTAAAGGAGCGAGGGAATTGGACTCTGAAACTTCGGAATGTATAGATAAGGATCGAGGGAACGACGAACTGGATGCTACCAGTCAAGTTGCGTCTTATCCCATCGACATCATGACAGATGTTATCTCAAAGGACGACGGCGACAATGGAGAGTCAAGAACGGCTGGTGATGAGCGACCTAGGAGACAAAGGAAGCTACCCAAGAAATTGGAAGAATTTTATGTGAATTTAACTAATCCGGAACAGTAAAGTAAATGCGGTCAGAACATTCCTGTGTGTAACTCAAGTAACCGGTTGCGTTCGATTAAAATGGTTGAGTGCAGCATCCAATCAGATGCAGAATTACAGTCTTGTGCCAATCTTTAGCATGGTTTGAAATCATAGACACTATAAAGTGGTTCATCGCTTTATTAATTTTCTTTTCTTTCCCAGTTGTGTATGGCAAGGACTAAAATTACTCCTAGAAAAATAAAGAATTGTCCGTTCTGTGAGGAGATGTACGATAGTGATGTGGCTCTTTTAGAGTATATTAGGCGCAAACATTTAGTAATGAAATATCCTTGTGAGGAATGTGCCTACAGTACAGACCGTACTTTTAAGAGACGTCGAGTAACAGTAGCCTGTCAAACAGAGGTCGAACCGCAAGTCGGAATACGGAGAGAGACCGAGGACAAATAAACCATTCGAGCTGATGGTACTAAACATAAAATACGACGAACTCTGAGAGTGGAAGAATGGGCAGAACCTTTGCCGGTACAACCGTGCGACCAAGAGTGTGGTTGTAGATGTCATGATAGCTGGAAAGAAGGAAAGAGAAAGGATGGTGGACATTTATACTGAACATTAATTCTTTCGTGATTGTTTGATATTATGTTTTACGTGATTTAATTGTGATTCAAATGATTCTAATTATTTGTTTAAATTTCATTCTTGACAGTCGTATGTGCGTGGAAGCACATATAGTGGAGGCGTGGGTTGTGTAACGAGGAAACCCCATAGACTTCAATTATTTTCGTTTCGTTGTATAATATTCGTTTCGTTAAAGTTTTTATTGTTATTTCGAATGTTTGGCGGGCTTTGTAGTGCCATCTATCGTCTTAGCTTTGGGTCACGTGATTCCGCCTGGGTATATATACGGACCAACTGTGGCTGCTGGGGGAGTGTGTAAATAACCGGCATAGAGTGAAGACGTCTCCTGCAGTGTAGCAGTATAACCACCCCGCCACGGCAAGCACACTTGGTCGTAATTTTTGGGTAGGAAGAAGCAGGCCAGGAATCTGAAAAGGGTAGGGGCAAGGTCTTTCATCGACCAGCAGCCCGGCGCTACAAGGCTCGTCCAAGCAACGCAGAGGTCTTGCGACAATACACGTTTAGACGGAGATTAGCTCTTCTTTCGTTATTTCGCACTGTTGTCTCTTTCTATCGATCTCCTGCGACAAGTCGGCGACTGCGACCAGCCGGCAACCCTGCGACAGTCGGCGACCCTGCGACCAAGTCAGCGACTGCGACCAGTCGGCGACTCTTCGACCAGTCGGCGACCCTGCGACAGTCGGCGACTCTGCGACCAAGTCGGCGACCCTGCGACAGTCGGCGACTCTGCGACCAAGTCAGCGACTGCGACCAGTCGGCGACTCTGCGACCAGTCGGCGACCCTGCGACAGTCGGCGACTCTGCGACCAGTAGGCGACCCTGCGACAGTCGGCGACTCTGCGACCAAGTCGGCGACTGCGACCAGTTTTCGACCCTACGACAATCGGCGACTCTGTGACCAAGTCGGCGACCCTGCGACAGTCTGCGACCAAGTCAGCGACTCTGCGACCAAGTCGGCGACTGCGACCAGTCGGCGACCCTGCGACAGTCGGCGACTCTGCGACCAAGTCGGCGACTGCGACCAGTTTTCGACCCTACGACAATCGGCGACTCTGTGACCAAGTCGGCGACCCTGCGACAGTCTGCGACCAAGTCAGCGACTCTGCGACCAGTCGGCGACCCTGCGACCAAGTCAGCGACTGCGACCAGTCGGCGACTCTTCGACCAGTCGGCGACCCTGCGACAGTCGGCGACTCTGCGACCAAGTCGGCGACCCTGCGACAGTCGGCGACTCTGCGACCAAGTCAGCGACTGCGACCAGTCGGCGACTCTGCGACCAGTCGGCGACCCTGCGACAGTCGGCGACTCTGCGACCAGTAGGCGACCCTGCGACAGTCGGCGACTCTGCGACCAAGTCGGCGACTGCGACCAGTTTTCGACCCTACGACAATCGGCGACTCTGTGACCAAGTCGGCGACCCTGCGACAGTCTGCGACCAAGTCAGCGACTCTGCGACCAAGTCGGCGACTGCGACCAGTCGGCGACCCTGCGACAGTCGGCGACTCTGCGACCAAGTCGGCGACTGCGACCAGTTTTCGACCCTACGACAATCGGCGACTCTGTGACCAAGTCGGCGACCCTGCGACAGTCTGCGACCAAGTCAGCGACTCTGCGACCAAGTCGGCGACTGCGACCAGTCGGCGACCCTGCGACAGTCGGCGACTCTGCGACCAAGTCGGCGACTGCGACCAGTCGGCGACCCTGCGACTCTGCGACCAGTTGGCGACTGAGACAGCGACACAGTCGACGACCCTGCGACTCATCGACCAGTCGGCGACCGAGAGAGCTACACAGTCGGCGACCCTGCGACTAGCTGTGACCAAGTCGGCGACTGCGACCGGTCGGCGACCCTGTGACCAGTCGCCGACCAAGACTGCGACAGTCGGCGACTCTGCGACCAAGTCGGCGACTGCGACCAATCGGCGACTCTGCGATCAAGTCGGCGACTGCGACCAGTCGGCGACCCTGTGACCAGTCGGCGACCAAGACTGCGACAGTCGGCGACCCTGCGACTAGTCGGCGACCCTGCGACCCAGTCGGAGACTCTGCGACAAGTCGGCGACTCTGCGACTAGCTGTGACCAAGTCGGCGGCGACCTAAAAAGAAGACAGAAATAAGCCGGTATCCCGCTGAGGTGGAAATCTGTCACACTCTGGAGTGCCAGTCCTCAGACAGATTCAGCGGGTTATCACTCCAACTATAAGACCTATCATAAAGAACCCGACATAGCGAGACTCAGGGCAGTGTAGCCGAGAGATCAGTACAGCTACAGTATCTTGAATAAGTGTATTATTAGCATCAACTAAATTGTGACTGAGAAGATGAGAAGTAATCATACTTATACCGCTAACCTTGTTTAATTATTCTTCATCAGTTCCCGATCATCGTTGGTTCACGATCGCGAGTTGTCGGGGGTGATGGTGTGATGTGATTGTGATTTTTAACGTAGCTGTAACAATTTTTCGGTCATATCGCTACGATGTCTGCAGTGTGGCATTTTATAGTGATGTCTAGCACTGGAGCATTATGTCCCACCCAGTCACATTATCCTGACACCAGGCCGACCAGTCCTATCACTAACCTCTTAATGCTGAGCGTTAGTACCATTTTTGTAAGTCTTTGGTTTGACTCAACCGGGGCTCGAACCCACGACCTCCCTTATCCGAGGCGGACTCTTTAACCACTAGGTCACTAGGTGTCAAAATCACCTAACTAGTTTCTTGTTTATTTCAAACATTTTAAACACATATCATTTTCAATGGCACTCACGTCATGGATTTATTAAATTCGGCATTAAATATTAATATTTACAAAAATAACCGCTTAGATCCAGCCATTGCAGAGTCAGACTATGGCATAGGTTTCTACAATTTCCTTGTCCACTAAACATAATTATGTCCACTTTTCAGGATAATATTACTTTAGTAAACAAGGAAATTGTACAAGAAATATGTTATAGTCCGACTCAGCAGTGACTAATTCTTATTATAATACAGTAAAAACGTAAATATTTATTGCAACATTTAAAATTTTCACGACCCGGTCACCTGCAATCATGAAAAGCCTCACTATATTATCAGCCTTCAACCTTTAGCTGAATTCTTCACGCTTGTGTAACAATTCGCCTCTAAAATATTTTATGAGGCTACATTTTTCCTCATTGTATGCTTCATATTAAATAAACGCATCAGTGCTTTGGATAAATATATCATCTTCTCTCGTTCACGTGCTCTCGAATTATGCGCAAGTTAATTAGAATTCGTACGACATTTTATGTCAGCCAATAAAATGATTATCTTACTTTTTCTTTTCTAACAATAAGCATGCGCAAATTCAGTCAATCTAATGTTACGTGACAAGGGCTCGTACTCAGTAACATAAAAAGGAGTGAAAGCCAACAAGCTTTGTATATTTCAACGAAACAATTTATTTCCCTAGACAACAATATAAAAAAATTTAGATAGGACTTACAGTTGGTGAATATAATCAAAATATGATTTTAAGAATAAGAACACAAATCTTATCACTAAATAGCCCTATAAGAATCCAGGTTCTAGTCCAAACGACGTATGAATATGGAGGGCAATGACGTCAGATGTAGTCCAACATATGAATAACAATAATTCCTCACTTGAATCACAGTAAACAGTCTTTGTTTCCGAAAAATTCCAGAATTAATTTCCTTGACAATCTTTCAGAATTTTTTTAAAAAGAAAGTCAACTTGTTGAGTGTCCAGGAAAAAAAATTATTGAATCCAAAACTCAGACGAAGAATAAAATATTCTGGCAACAAATTTAAAATAAATACATAGATACGCCTTGTTCTTTCAAGGTTTTGAATGACGATGAGTAAACAAATATTAAGAATGCGTATTTAACCTCGTAAACATCACTTCAAATCTCGCGAGATTAGTCATGTGGTCACTTAGTACACTAGTTTTGTCACGTCGTCCAGAGAAGACCGACTTAAAAACCAATCATAAAAATATGTTCTTTACAAACATTGATCACGTGGAGAAAGTATGTCCATGATAATGAGCGATCATTTTAACTTCCTGTTGATTTGTTACCAATGTAAGGCGAACTAAATACCAACCATCACGTATTACTATTTCGTCTTAAATAAACAAAGTTTGTGCTAAAATTATATCTCACTACTAAAATAGAATCCCGAATCTGAGAAAAAAAATATTAATTGCAATTAAATAAAATGAAACAAAAATGAAAAAAAAATTAATTCTAAACCTTACACAAAAGCAATTTATTCGCATATACGTAACACTAAAATCAACCTTAATTATCTTTTGTTTTTATTTCCTTGGGTCTTTTTATTCTTAGAAATTTTTTTTTAACAAATAAGGATCATAAACGTAAAGGTACAGTTTAAACTGAACACTACTCAGTACAAAAGCAAACAAAAATGTATGGCTTCAAAACTAATAACACAAGATAGATCTTAGCAAACCATGAAATGATGAATACAAAATATAAACCTTATTACATGACCGTCAGATCTTGCACCTGAGACCCAATTCTACATGTATTTTGGGTATGAGGCACCAAGTGTCGAATTTATTCACATGCATTTTACTTGGTTCAATACAAAATTGTTGCAGAGGTATACCAAAGCCGATTGAACTAAGTATTACATTATCTTTAATGAAATGAATATGGCTAATCTCACTAGACTAATATAATGAGACATTAATTTCATTAAAGAAAATGTACCACATGTAGGACAAATTAAATGATTTCGGCGCTCCGTTGCTAACATTCCCATTCATCTAAAGAAAATCGCATTAGAGTTCGAAAACCCCACCTGCTTTATTTTACATGATATACTTAACTAAGAAAATGTACTTGCATATACATAATTCAGTAAAAAGTAATCAGAGTATGTATAGTACGAAAAATGCAAATATACTCTAATCTGTGAAATAGAAGAATATGGGTTTCCAACATTGTGAGATCTTCCTGAAAATTTTACCTCTAGTTCCGAAGTCGACAGACCTCTCAGCAAAGTATGCAGAACCTATTGTTCAGGCAGTAATATGTTTACCACCTACCCCCTATACTTGGTGGCTGATGCCCGTCAAACATATTTTTTATTGAGTATTATACTGAAGGTAAAGAATCATGCATATCAGCACATTCCAGGGTCGATGTCTTATATTGTAGTAATTTGAGATTCCCGCCATTGTTTCAGGACTTAAAAGTGAGCTTTTATCCAGGGAAATAACCCAAAACGGGCATATTGTGATAGTTTTTTCCTCAATCTTCCCTTTCTTGATCCGCTATTCTCTGTGTGTAGCAAATAAACAATGTCCGGAAAACACTGGCAGTACCGAGTTTCAATTCCTGTCTTATCCCTCAATCAACAAACCAGATAACAAACTATTGACAGCATAAAATATGCCTAAGAAGCGCTATATAAACAAAACCCTTGAAAATGTTTACACTATTGAAAACAATTTGACTTGATGTACACATAACCGATCAATAAAAAAAGTTATGTCGCCAACATACACGAGTTTATTAACATTGTTATAAAAGTTTTAGTCAAATAACAGGCTGTTAATGTTGCATACAACCCGAACAAAAGACAAAGGAACAAGTAAACAACTAACATTGATGAAACACATAATCCAGCTTCCATTCTTACACTTTTAGACTGTAGTCACTCTAGCCTAGATTCAATTCAGAACTTTGTATGCTACTTTGGATTTATTACTTTCACCTGTATAGTGTTTGATCTCATTCCCAAATGGCTTTTGTCACTTAACTGCGGGCAATGCAAAGGAGGCGAAGTTTTTCTGCCTTTGATATATTAGAAAGACATCTTAAGATTTTGAGTTGTGAGTGGTTAAATTGATACATACGATGTTTTAGTTTGTTTAATGTCATATTATTGTACCTTTGATTTTATTTTTTATTTAAAACAAAAAATAAACAACACATCAAAATGCAATAAATGCAGATATTTCATTCCAGAATTCCTCATTTGCTGTGGCCGTTTATTGGGTAGCACATCTTTTTTGCAGTAGTCCATGAGCTATGAAATCGTCATTTGCAAACTTGCTAAAATAAACTGGAATAATTAGCTAAACAGTCGCTTTCATAACCACAATTTGCTTCCATTTTGTTGAGACTTTGCTGTTTTGTTTACTGATGTTTATTTATTTGGCCACTAACATTTTATTTTCTACAAGTTTTGTCATTGAGCTTAAATCCTAAAACAGTAACAAACTTGCTTTTTGACTGTTTGAACAAGATATATAAATCATTTGCGCCATTTATCAAATGCAATATTTTCTCTAAAGATTGGAGACTGGAAGAAGTCAAACCTTATGAACTTATTAATTTTATGTTTTGTGCATGAAGCTTATTGTGATGTTTTACAATATTGTTTTCTCTTATTAATTTCTGAGCTTTAACTTGGTTGAATCCGCGTGAACGTTTTGCAAGTGCTTGCTAAGCTGAATGTAAAGTGCTTTTTTTTCTTTTGTGATGTAACATTTTCCGGTCCTTTGCTGATCTTGTCGTCGTCTTGACGTTTACTTGTTCACCGTCCATTTGCTTGTGATGAAATATGTAACGTCAGCTCAATATAATTTAAAGGTGCTAATATTAAAGCAGTCTAGACCATTGATCAGGTTTTTCATAGAGACCATTATGCCTTGTCATGCTTGTCACGTTGTTCATATGAACCATTTTGGATTATCAAATTGTTCATTTGCACTATTGTGCGTAATCATATTGTTCAGATGTATCATTCTGCCGTATCATGTTGTTCATTTGCACTATTGTTCTTAATCACGTTGTTCCAATGCTCCATTTGCTTTTGTTTGTAATGTTTAATTTTGCTTGTAATATTTAAAAACGTATCATACACACAACTTAGATCTTCCATTTCCACTTGAAATATTTACCAAATATTGGGAATTATTTACGGCAATGAATTTGGAACTATTGAGTGAAATATCAAGAGGGTCTAAACAGTTTTTACTTAACAAAATTCAGATATATTTGTACTATTTATTTGGTGAAATCGACCGAATTCGTGGTGGAGACGTACAGTAAGTAACGACAAGGTGTTTATGGCATTTCACTGTACCTTCCGCCGAGTAATAAGATTTAAAGTTGACAACAATAGTTTGGACAGAATGAGATGTGACTGATGTGGAAATGGACATCAAGATATGAGAGAGAGAGAGAGAGAGAGAGAGAGAGAGAGAGAGAGAGAGAGAGAGAGAGAGAGAGAGAGAGAGAGAGAGAGAGAGAGAGAGAGAGAGAATAAGGAAGTGTCATTAGACGTTTATCATAGCTTACCTGGTCACTTTATGATGGTTCGTACTTTGAACCAGGTACTCTTCATAGCTAACAAATAGATTTTGTCAGATATATAAGGTACAATAACTATGGCTACAGCATTTGACCTTCAGCTGAGTTTGCAATCTGTTGCAGAGTGCTGAAACTTCTAAACCGTGCTCATGTTGATGCCGTTCCCAGCTGCAGCGCTGATGACAGAAATAAGAGACATTCCACTAGGTAAATCATCTAAAATACTATTCAAGCCAGATAATGATTTCAACCTCAGACTTGACTTTCAAGATATGGCATCTGGGTTTGTTACAAAAAGTTTTATTAAGCAAGTATATGTTTAGGAACTTTCAATTTTGTTTAATAATGTGATCGAGGAC